AAAGAAAAACACAGCATTTCTCGTTAATGTGGCCCCACTATTAACCATAAGGCTAACGCACACATACTGCAAATTCGTCGAGATCACCATTTTTAATTATATTCTTTTTTCGGGAATCAGTGAGAAGTCTCTACTCATAAATATTTCACTTATGAATACAGACTTTCACATAGGAAATGCTATATTAGCCTTGTTTTTGAGCATAGAAATGAAAGATTTCGATTTGAATAATATTAGCATGAATGATGCTTAATTTATTTTTCCAGAATACCTAAACAGATTACCTAAAATAAGTCAAAGATGTCATATGAATAATATATATTCTATATTTTTGAAAGATAAAATTTCGGCAGTCTGGATATAGAATGGCCACACTCGACTAAGTAAACGTTTATATTTTATTAGCATCAAACAACTTAGTATAACAAATAAAGCAAAACAGAAAAGAATTAATAACGTAAGAAAAACAAAGCTAACAAAACCAGAGATAATACTAAAGAATAACATAAAGATACCAACATAAATTCGGTTGTAGCGAATAACGATATAACCTATTGATATCCACAAAACTTTAGTCACGGACAATATCGGTGAGCATATACAGTTCAGTAAATGACCAAGAACATCATTAGGGGAGAATCTCTCACTAAATATATCTCGGGATATTACGGTAAACTGTCCTGTGGGAAAATTTGGCGAAACAAAATTAGTATCAAAGCATAATTGGATAGTGTTGTCCCCAGGGTTTATGTGCCTGAGCGTTATAGTCATTATATTTTGCATAATGTCTAAAAATTAACACCTATAACCTATTGTGTTTCACAATATTCCACATAGGATTGATATTTTAATAACGAAGACATGAAATCTCAATAATTTAGAAGCATATCGGGTAATCACAAAAAGATAATCAATTTTTAAATCGATTGGAGAAAGACATTTTTTAATAACCACCTGTAGATTGTATATAACACTTACGTCTTGAAAATTAGAAATTATGAAAACAATAAAATAGCTTAAACATGAAATAATAACAAACAAGTTGAAATAATGTCATCAGTCTGACACTCTTACTAAAATATAATTTGCAGTGCATATCTGATTAAGATTTTCATTAATTCACCTTCATTTCAAGCTGAGTAAAAAAACACTTAATCTTTCAGCTGCAGCTGCATCTCGCAAGATTTATGATGGTTATTACTTACTTTAAATTACTCAGTAGCAAGATGCTTGCTAAAATTACAGTTATGTTATATTATATCAGAAATTACAATAGATCTGATGCATAAAATAGGAAGCTTTTCAAATCTCCAGATTTTTGTCATCTATACTACTATTATAAAGCTAAAGAATTTGTTTGTTTGTTTGAACGCGCTAATCTCAGGAACCAGTTGGTTCGAATCGAAACATTCTTTTTGTGTTGAATAGACCATTTATCGAGAAAGGCTTTAGGCTATATAACATCACGCTGCAACTATTAGGAGCGAAGAAATAATGGAAAATGTGGAAAAAACGGGGAAAATTATTCATCCTTGAGGGCTTCCGTTGCGTGCGCTGCGAAAACGGTTCAAGATACCAAAAATATATGTATGAAAAACTATGCTATGATAACAGCAATCGATACCCAAAAAAAACAGTTCCCTAGGGATCACGCGGGCGAAGCCGTTGGCGGAAAGCTAGTATTGTTATAAAGAAATATGACTATGATCAAATATATAATTTTAATACTCTTATTGCTAGAATTTTAATTTACGTTAAATTCTTATAATAAAATATTTGTCAACCTCTAATTTAGGTTAATAGATAAAATAGTATACCCCGCATTTATTGTTATTTTTTAGTGTTCTGTAATAGAAGTATACCTAACGCTTGCACCCCGCTGTTTTCCAATTACTGACTTGCATCTCTTTGTTCAGTTCCACAGAAACAGTAATGAAACAACATTCCGGCTAATGAAGTTCTCCGCTAGTTAGAAAAAGTTGAACCAGACAAAAAAAGGAAATGAAAAGAAAATTTTCACACAATCAAATTAGATCTTGTCGACTCCGGTGTTAGTTTTTCTAACTTGTAGTTGGAAATCACGTGCATTTTTTTGGAAGTGTATTTAGCAAATCTGCAAGCTCTAACTATAAACAGTTTACGTAATTGGAAGCTGATCCTTTAGTGCAATATAGGTATTTATTTATTTTTTAATAATAACGTATAATTATTTCTATATTATTTATAACCAGGTTATACGCGGAATATATCTGTCTATGAAATTCGGGAAAAACTCGGGAATAAGGACATAAGGTAGGCCTCTAAATGCTCATAGAGGTGAGTTCTACACACTACAGTCCTTGTCGCTCACCATATAGCAATGATAATAGGTTACGCATTTTCTCTGCTTTAAAATTTCTAAGGTGTATTCTTTAAGGTGCAAATTAAAAAGACCTAAAAGGTATATTCTACTCAGATCAACTCGATCTGGTATCATTTACAACAGATCCCTAATAGATAATACAAGATAGTATTTATAAAAGACGCTATACGCTATATCAGATCACACGAACCATTTTCCGTTTCGTATTCTGAACTACAGCTTATGCGAGCTTACTTGTCTCGCGCCTTGGGTGAATTACATTTATTTAACTCAAAACTTGCGCATTTGAAGTTCACTCTGAGACGCAGCACTAAACAGATTTATGAGGTTACCAGTAAGTGGGGCGCCAAGTAAAAGTTCCTATGACTTACAAACTAAAGTTTAGAGTAATTTGATGCTATCACTCTTTATATTTAACTAAGTGTTTTGCCGCGATCTAGGACCTAACAGGACTGATGAATTTAATTTATTGATTTATGAGAAAAGTCAATATGTATTATACAGGACCAGGCGAGCGAAGCCGCTGACGGAAAATTAGTTTTGTTACATTTCAATAATTTAGCATTCGGAATACTATATTCATCTATCTCGGGCTCTCGATACTTATTTATTTTTAAGCTTTCTGTTTATAAGAGATATGTTTTACTTTATTAATAAATATTTCTTTTAAAAAAGTCTTTGTATACTCATAGGCACTAAATAAAAACTAAAATAGACCGTTTTGCTAAGTAGGTTAAATGCCGTAATAACTACAATTCCGGAATTAGTAAACAGAACTTGATCTAATAACTAGACGCCAGATCGTATAAAACAGAAGTTTGAATGCAACTTTTCTATTTGTATGTACATCCTGCATTACAAAAGTGTTTTAATTTCATAATAATTAACGATTTACTTTTATGATAGTACTCAGTTCACATATTGCAACATTGTAATGATGAAACCTTTTTTCATAGAAAGTTTGGCAGAAAAACAAGAATATCTATAGCAATAATTAAACTAGACTAAATTGCGAAGTTTAAATAAAATTATTTAATTCGTTATAAGGATTTAAAAAAACGACACTCGACTGTCTATTGGTCTGTTACTGTTATTTGCTTCTTAATACTAGACTCATTAAGCTGATATTTAGTTTCAATATGTTGGTTACTCATCACCTCATACATACCCTCCAATCCGCATTGGGCCAGCGTGGAGGGTCATGGCCCATCCTCCTTAACCATCCATAAGGAAGGCCTGAGCCCCTGCAGTGGGGACGTAAAAGGGCTGGTGATGTGATGATGGTTAGTCATATAAGGAGTGAAATGTAAGTAAATAAATTACAAAATCAAAACAGTTTTAAACAATAACAGGTATGAAATGAAATCATATTAAATGAAGGAAATCGTTGTGAAAGTTTGAATTTACTCAGGTATACAATTTTTTATATATATTATTATGGAAATAGGCGATAAGTTGGTTGGTGATAATCCGATATAGCCAGTCATCAAATTTTGAAATAAATTACAGAAACTTTATTTTTTTAAATAAACAACGGACTTTATCAAAAGTCTATGGTTTTTTTTTTTAATAATTTTAAAACCGTAACCGAATCCTACTCGAACTTTTTCTGTAAACATCAGTATCCATCCAAAATTCTTGGCAAAATAATTTTCTTTGGATCAACGCCGGCCTACTGAATTCCCTTGATTAGTTAATAAATTATATTGGATCTGACGGCAATGAAATTACTAACTGAACCATTTCTATTATTTCGAGAATGTTCGTGGTGTTAGCTGGATCAATGGACGTCTAAGCAATTTGTTAATTTAACCATTCGATTAGGTTTTTTTTTTCACTTTCTTATTGAATGAATTTACACAGAATAAATATCTATAATATTAAAAAACAAGCATTGCCTCTTTACAGTAAGATAGTTTAAACTCACAAAAATATTTTGACAAAAAGTTTTTTAAGTATTAATAACTATTTAATCGATATTTATTTCAAAGAAATTAAGTATAAAATAGTATGATTTATTATTTTAAAATAATGTATGCAAGGGCAAAGCTAAAGGTCCAAAATAATGAACGGATTTTAACAAATTTATGGTTACGATGATGATGATGATAAAAAGATATGTTAAGAAAGAATTATAATAAATTGTATAAGGCGGTTTTAAAGTCGTATTACTAAGATATATAAAAAAATACAGTTAAAAATACATGTTTGTATAATAAAAAAATTGTATGTTAATATATAAAAGACACAAAAAATGTGCCAAAGATAACATTTACAGCTTCTTATAAGTATTTTTTCATATAAGTGTTTTTGTTTTTCATATATTTTAATTTCAAATTTTATGTCACTTTTTAATTTTTATTTCATTAATAAATATACAATATCATTCGATTTTCTTAATGTTAAGGAAGTAATGGCACTTCAATGTCGATTCAATAATTACATTTCGTCACTGCATTATTTTATTTACGCTAAATATTAGTGTGCAAAAGTCAGATTCTTTTGTTATTTTGCGATATAGTGACAAGAAATATGTCACGATCACAAAAGATGCTATTCAAATGTCATTGATATGCTATAATTACATAAAAATTGGCAGAATTAAGAGTCGCGAGCGGAAAATAAATTATAGTCCCACCTGTAATAGTTGAGGACTTGTGCGAAGACCCCGGGGTGTCTATCAAAGAAGTACTCGTTGAGCACCGGGTCGTAGTTGGCGAGCGCCTCTGTCAGCCGAGAGAGGCGCGTCGCGGGGATCTTTTTAAGAGTCGCTTTATATGTTTCGTATCTGAAAAAGAAACATTCAGTACATAACTAAATAAAAATACAGTACTATATTTCATATTAAGACGACGTCGATCTTAAATCAAGTAGCTAAAGTACTAGTAATACGAAAATCTGAAACAGGGCTTGAAACCAGTTCAGAATAAACCGTTTTTATTTAGGTAAAACCTGTTCTATTATAATGTTCCGTTCCGGATCGGAACTAAATGCGGAGTGAAATTCGGATAGAATGAAAACCGGTTAATTCGCTTGGTTCGTAAAAAGCAATCTTACGCTTTTAATGCGAATTATATCATTTTTAAGCGACGACATTTATCATACCCATGTACGGATGTTATAGATAGGAGTGTAGGCACTTAAAAACCGCGCTGAAGTTTGTAAGATCATTGTCTGGAGTCATATTTAAACCGGTTAATGAAGAAAACCATATTTCTAGTAAACCGGTTTAAAATCTGTTCAAAGAAACTGAACCTTTTATGTAAAGTTTCGCATGTACTTACGTCGAACCGGTTCAAAAAATAAACCAGTTTTCAAGCCCTGATCTGAAATATCGAAAGTCATACATTCAAACTCGAGATAATATAGAAAAAATCATTTTTTTTATTGACCCGACTAAGAATCGAACTCCTGCAAATAAGTGACGGTCGCTATGGGCGAGCTACTGGGCTACGGAGGTTGTCTTATAATGTTGCTTCATCAAAATATTGTTATGTAAATACCATAAAAGTTCTAATTAGACTAAAAAATAAAAAGTTCTATTCATGCATTTTTTCTTCGTTTATGTCTATGAAATCTTTATTTTATGTCTATAAATCTAAATCAATATTTGAAGTTCTAAGCTTTCCAGCATAATAGCTCTTCAATTAGTCAACAGCTAATATTTCCCAGTTCCAATAGTTTTATCTAGTTCCGTAATATAAATACCGATTTTCTTACACATATTGGCAAATTTTATTTAGGTCATAATAGACAATTTCTATGCCAATATTGATCTTCTATTTTCTTATCTACGAGTATTTGTATGTTTTGGGCAAACTCTTATCCAATAAAAATGTTTACTTCCTAAACAGTAGTCTCGTTGCCAAGTTTAATATATACGAGTATTTCACGACGATATATCATTACTTCATCTAAATTAAATATGATTCATAACACTGAACTTATGAACTAAACTATGTAAGTCATATCTTCTAAATATATTTTGGAAGATATCAATATTTTTTCAAGTGGTCATTAAAAATACAATGAAATCATTAAAAATACAATGAAATCAGGTTTCATTGTATTTTTAACGATTTATCACAAAAAAAAACACACATACACAGAAAAATCAATTTAGAATAATTAAATCCAATTATAGTAATGGGTATTTTTCAAGTATAATTTCGGATATCACAATTAATTTAAGTGGTGTGTCACTGGTGACGTGAAGTTATACAATGGAAGCGTAATTTAATAAAAACGGCCAAGAGCAAGTTTGAGTCGTGCACGAAGAATCCCGTACTATTGTCCATTCATAAAAAAACGCAAAAATCGGTGGCGGTAGCGATAGCTCGGTGGCGTAGTGGATAAGCACCGCGGCACGCGATCGTCGTCGTTAAGCAACTTTCGAAAGGGTCGGTCACGGGATGGGTGACCAAAAAATTATTATCTCGAGCTACTCCGTGCTTCGGAAGGCACGTTAAGCCGTTGGTCCCGGCCTCATTTGTAGTCGTTAATACCCGCCAATCCGCATTGGGCCAGCGTGGAGGGTCATGGCCCATGCTCCTTAACCATCCATAAGGAAGGCGTGAGCCCCTGCAGTAGGTACGAAATAAATGGCTGATGATGATGATGATGATAAATATAGCGGTTACAGAAAAACATCGCCTGTGTACACTATTATGGTACGAGTATCATCACTTGCCTATTCACATCCACACTGCAGATACAGCCAGCACCAGTGGCTTACCGTGCTTTCCGAAACACAGACGAGCTCGATATAATTAATTTCTGGTCACCCATCTGATCACCAGCCATTGTGAAAGTTGCTTAACAGTCGTATCGCGGACCGAGCGCGCTAACCACTCTCTCTCCTTATGAATGAAATCAAATCGAAACAACGCGGCCCCAATGCGCATTGTTTGGTAATAAGGACTGCAGATGCAGCCGGAACCAAAGGCATAAGTTTCCTTCCAAAGAATGGAGAAACTTAAAATTGTACCTAACCTAACCTAACCATAAAATACTTATATCACATATATCTGAATTAGTGCTTCGGAATTTGTAAATACGTATTATTTGTAATATAATCGCAAGTTTCCGAGATGGGGTATAAGATACTCATAAATAAATATCAATTTAGCATTCTGAATGCAAATATATCTAATATTAGAACTCTTACTTGCTAAAAACATTGCTTGTCTAGAAAAATGTATTGATTAAAATTTCTAGAAGGTACTATTTGTATCATTGACCTCAACCTAATTTCGAAACGGAGAAGGAAGCTAACATTAACTTATATGTCTGGACACTAACACAATATTATGTAACATTAGGTTATTTTAACTTAACAAAACGTATAGGTTCTGATATTTTTCTTCGTACATATCCAGCAGTACTATACATATTATAGAAATAGCTCTTATCTCATCGTATAGCGCAGAGTCTCATCATCGTCGTCTGTACAGATTCAATAACATAATAACTACTTCAAAAGATATTATTGGTTTAAATTCAACACTAGTAACAAAAATAATGTTTCCGTTCCAATATTCAAACGAAAGGATATTACAGTTAAAATTGCACTAAAAAAATTACCAACCTGTAAACTAATTTAAAACTCATGTAAAGAATGTTCTTTGCATGAGTTTTAAATTAGTTTAAATGCATGGAATTAATAGCGATCGCTTTGTCCTATCATCATCATCATCATCACTTCAGCCGAGAGACGCCCACTGCTGGGCATAGGCCTCCCCCAAAGATCAGAATCTGATCCCCAAAGAGTGTTCTATACTGACTAATTACTGGTCAACATGACTTTTTGCCGTTAATTAATTAATGTATTTTCGGTATTTCTCATATATAAGTATTTAAAAAAATAATAATAAAAACAATCTATTACATCGAAATATCTAAATAAACGATTTACTTTGAATTTGAAAAATTTTGACGGTCTATCGAAAATAAGTATTGTGGTTGGCCATTCTAACAAAAACAAAACTGATATTTGTAAGAACACAATATACCCTCACATTTGTGCACATTTAGTGTATGTTATTCTTAGTTTGTTATCGCGTTATATCACTATTCAACACTAGACGACATTCGATTTCCAGTGTTTTTTCAACTGTTTATTGAAATTGTGACTAGTTTTTTTCTCTTTTTTTTTTGATAAGTTTCAGTTTAAAAGAAAAAGTAGAAGTACAATATGAATCGAAAGTGCTTAAATTCACCGGACCTCTTTTGTTTTACTTGTGGAGAGTTTACTTCAAGTTCTAATCGAGAACGACCTACACCGTTACTTAATAACATTTACAATTTGTATTTTGGTTTCAACATTCCTGAAACTATTAAAAAAAGTTGGGCTCCGAGTTATTTTTGTTTAAGATGTGTTCGTTATTTAAGAGGATGGTTTAAAGGTACCCACCTAGCAATGCCTTTTTCTAAACCTACACTTTGGAGAGAACAAAAAGATCATATTACTGATTGTTATTTCTGTTTAACGAAACTTAAAGGATATTCCTATAAAACGAGAGATAAAATTGTATACCCTGATGTGGAATCAGTAACTAAACCACTTCCTCATACCGAAAACTGTCCACCGCCGCAACCTCCACAAAAGGAAAAAGATGCAGAGGACAACATAAGCGACGTCGAATCGGAATCTTCAACGAAGAGCCTTACTCAGTCACAAAATTTTGTTGTAAATGATAACGAACCACATTTAGTAGGTCAAGGTGAACTAAATGATTTAGTTAGAGACTTAAATTTGTCTAAAGCCCAAGCCGAACTTTTAGGTTCCAGACTTCAACAGTGGAATTTACTTCATCCGAGTACATAAATTTCAGTGTATCGAAAACGCGATGCTGAATTTGTAGACTTTTTTAAACAAGAAAGTGATCTTACATACTGCAGTGATGTGCAGGGGCTTATGAATAAATTAGGCTATGACAACTATTCACCAGATCAATGGAGACTATTTATTGATTCTTCTAAATTAAGTTTAAAAGCAGTCTTACTGCATAATGGCAATGATCTTCCATCTGTACCTTTAGCACATGGCATACACATAAAAGAAACATATATTAATATAAAAAATCTACTCGAGAAAATTAAGTACAACTTGCATTCTTGGAAAATATGTGCAGACCTTAAAGTTGTTGGAATATTACTTGGGTTACAAGGAGGGTACACGAAATATTGTTGTTTTTTATGTGAGTGGGATAGCAGAGCTAGAAGTCAACACTACATAAAAAAAGATTGGCCAATGAGGACTAATTTCGTTCCTGGACAAAAGAATATTTCCGAAAGCCTATTAGTACAGCCAAAAAATATTATTTTACCGCCTCTTAACATTAAATTAGGCCTCATGAAAAACTTTGTTAAAGGCATGGATAGAAACAGAGAAGGTTTTTTGTATTTAAAAACATTGTTCCCTAGACTGAGTGAAGCTAAATTGAAAGAAGGAATTTTTGTAGGGCCAGATATAAGGAAGGTCATGAAAGATACTAATTTTATTTCAAAATTAAACAAAAAGGAAAAAAATGCGTGGCTTTCTTTTGTTGAAGTGACAAAGAATTTTTTGGGAAACACAAAGTCTGCGAACTATAAGGAGATAGTTTCTAAGCTTCTACAAGACTATAAAGATTTAGGATGTAATATGTCTTTGAAGATAGATTTCCTTCATTCCCATCTAGATTTTTTCCCCGAAAACTTGGGTGCAGTAAGCGATGAGCACGGGGAAAGATTCCATCAAGATATCATGGCGATGGAAAGAAGATACCAAGGAATGCTTGCAGATTT